CCTGTTACTGACCTGGCTTGTTCACGGACTCTGCTTTGTATTATCCTGATTTAGATTTTGACCTGGCTACATACTGACTTGAATTTCTCTGTTCCAGTGTTGTGTACCAGACCCGGCTTGCTCCAGAATTTGAGTTGCTCCAATATTCTTGTTGTAAAACGGTCCTGTCTTCTACATTGTCATTATTTGTTGTTTTATTAAGTCTTAATTAATTTATTTTTAGTGTAGTTCGGATATTTCTTCTTTACTCCTCAGTTTTAAGCCCAGCTATGCTAAGGTCTGGTAAGAAGCCTACTTCCTTACTTTGCATTTGGTCGGGTTGCCACCTTGCATCTTGCGGAGAATCCTCACGTATAGGGACAGTAAGCTTCCTGAAATGGGTTTCCATGGTTAATATATACATCACCACTAAAATATTCAGAATCAGTGGCAACAGGTCTGTATCTTGAGGCTGGGGATGTATGTTAAATGAAGGCCTTACACTTCTGATTTACTTTCACAGTGAATGCCACTTTGAACTAATATTTTGTTTAATTTAGACCTGTTGTCTTTTTTTAATGATGCTATTGGGACCAGTTCCAGTGCTATATTATCTATAATGTGTACCTCTACCACGTAGCAATATCTGAGCAATCTTACCTCTATGACACTGTTTAGGATCTGATCTTTATCTTCTCTCAGTTGCACACTGCTTTTCCCTTACATGTCTCTATCGGGGACTGGGGACTGGGGACATGTATATTCAAGCCTGTGTACCCTCTCATTATTGTTTTAATATATAAAAATAGATTTTGCTAGGAACATATTCTGACATGTTGCAATGTTTATTCATATACTCTTGTTCAAGATAATACTCTGTCTTGTATCACTCTCATGCCGCAATAAAAAAACATAATAAAAAAAAAATGTTTTAAAAAAAAAGTGTAGGTGTACTTAATACGAAATAGATAAATTATGGTTGAACAGACATATAGATCAAATTCTAAGTTTGGTTTTGATTTTGTTTTGATCAGCACATGTACAATTGCCTCCATCCTTAAGGAATTAAAGGTGGTGTTAAATGCATATATGGTTTTGTTTTTGTGTTAAGATGTTTGCTTTTATCGACTTATGCAAACGTCTCTTGGCTTTGTCTTGTATTTAATGGACTTAAGTTCCTTCTACCAAATGTTTTTATGACAACAACAGCTGATGGCTGTTTTAAGCAAATGTTAAAACACTCTAGTGTAGCGTTTCCCAATTGGTGTACACTAATTGGGGTTCCGCCCAAAAAATTCAAAATAAAATGGGCGCGGGCGGCGAGGGAGCAGTGAGCTCCCTCACGCGCACAGCAGTGATGCTGGAGCCGGAATATGCCATCACTCTGGCTCCGGCATCACTAAGAGCCACGCGAGATAGCTGAGCAGGGAGATCACTGCTCCCATGCCGCCCACACGCAAGCCGCTTAGAAGCTCCACTGGACCTCAGGGACCACTCGCCATAAGGCCCACTGGACCACAGGGACTCCACCAACTGGACCCCAGGGACTCCATGCCAGCACTCCTAAAGGTAGGGGGACTGGGTGGAGTAAAATGTTAAAAATAAATAAATTGTATGTGTGTCTGTTAGGGAGTTTGTATGTGTTTGTGTGCTTGTCAGTGAGTGTGTGAGAGTGTATGTGTTTGTCAGTGAGAATGTATCTGTTCTTGTCAGCGAGAGTGTATATTTGTTAGTATATGTGTATGTCTGTCAAAGAGTATGTGTGTTTGTCAGTGAGAGTGTATGTATGTCTGTCAAATAGTGTGTGTGTGCGTCTGTCAAAGAGTATGTGTTTCTGAGTGTGTTTATCTGTGTGTCAAGGTTTGTGTATGTGTCAGTGTGTGTATCTAAGTGTGTGTATGTGCCAGTATGTATCAGTGTGTTTGTATGTGCCTGTGTGTGTATCTGAGTGTGTCAGTGTGTGTATGTCACTGTGTGTATCTGAGTGTGTGTGTGTATTTGTGAGTGAAGATGTGTGTATCTGTGTGCCAGTGTGTGTGTATATCTGTGTGTCAGATACACACTGACACAGAGATACACACACTGGTGCATACAAACAAAGATATTCACACCTTGACACACACACTTTGAAGCATAGATACACACACCTTGACACACAGATATATACATATATACACACACAAACACACAGCTACACACTGTGTGTCAAGGTGTGTGTATCTGTGTCAGTGTGTGTATCTGTGTCAGTGTGTGTATCTGTGTGCCACTATCTTCCAGTGTGTGTATCTGTGTGTCAGATTCATACACACTGGCACATACAAACACAAGCACACACCTTGATACACAGACACATACAAACACAGATACACACACCTTGACACACAGATAGATAGATACATACATACCCACACACACACACAGATACACACTGTGTGTCAAGGTGTGTGCATCTGTGTCAGTGTGCCACTATCTGCCAGTGTGTGTATCTGTGTGTCATATTCATACACACTGGCACATACAAACACAGATACACACACCTTGATACTCAGACACAAACACGGATACACACACTTTGGCACATAGATAGATAGATACATACATACATACATACACACACACACAGATACACACTGTGTGCCACTATGTGCCTGTGTGTATCTGTGTGTCAGATATACGACTGGCACATACAAGCACAGATATACACACCTTGACACACACCGGCACATGCAAAGAAAACAGCGCAATTGTAATTTTTTTTTCGGTGGGGGAGGGGGGGCTCCACGATGTTGATACACTATGCCAAAGGGCTCCACGGGACAAATTAACTGGAACCACTGCTCTAGTGGGTGTCAATGAATTGATAAAGCACTGTTATGCCATCATCTGCATTGTGCAAGTATATTTCACTTGTACTTGAAAATCTAAAAAAAAAAAAAAACAACCGGTAGACCGATTTTAATCTTGCTCTAGGCCAGTTCTCCTTCGTGATTCCATTCACACTGCACTAAAGTAAAATTCATGAAATTGTTATATCTAGACATGTACCTCTCAGGGAGAAAGTGAGAACATTTGAAAACCTTCCTTGTGTGTTACAGGTAATGTACAGGAAGCCCTTGGGTTAGTAATAGCTAATGAGCAGGATTAACAATGCTGTGAAGACAGCTCGTGGAAAGAGCTGCTTCCAAAAACAGCGATGCATCCAGTGCTTAATGGGGAACTGACATTAGGAGGAGTACTTGGTACAACTAATACAGCAGCAATTAGCACTCTGTTGTGTCTAATAGACATGACTAGCTACTAACAGCCGTTTAAATGCAGGATGGCTATTATTAGATCCAGCCGGACAATTATGCGTCTGCCAGACCAAGCGCACAACAGGCTTTCAAATCCTGCTGGTATTCTACCGTTCTAAACTTGGACATTTAGAATTGCAGCCATTGTTTTCTTTGTTACAGGAGTTTGCATGCGAGTGTGGCTTTGAGAGGGGATTACATAAGAGAAAATAGGCGATGCCCACTTCAGTAAAGTTGGTTTAAGTATTAATGGCAACTGTAGCTTTAATTTTTTTTCCTTCAATTTATTGAATAGATTCAAGCTTCACAGATGACTACAATATATGAAGCATTGATACTATATGGAGACTACAGTACAATTTTATTTAATTCCAGGATTTAAAGGGACAGATATAGTGACTACAGCACACACACATGGGCAGTCCTGTCACGGTCGACCCTAGATAATCATTTTATTCAATGATGCTCTTTGGCAGAATCTTAAGCACATCACGGCGAGCACCACGCATGCACCTACGTTTCACAATACTCCTCTAAGAGAAGCATTGGCTTGGCACACCTCCAGGATGACGCAGCCTAAGGAGGAGGTTGTGGCAACGCTGAGGGAGACTCGGCACTGGAGAAAAGATTAGTCATTTGTATTATTTTTATTTAAGTTTTCGTTCTTTTACACAGGGGGGACCCAATTGATTAGGGACATTAGGGCTGTAGCGTTGGGAATACATATATGTATTCCTAATGCTACAGTGTTTCTTTAAGATTCACCTTGACATACCAGTAATCCAAATTTACAATTGGATTCTTGCTCACTGTGTATATTTGTGTGCATTTGACTACACAGAGAGTAAATGATTTGCTTTACTTCTGTCACAATGAATGCAGACAATCACAGCAGACAACGAGGAGTCTATGAAAGAACCATAGAAAATTCCAGAACAGGGTAGATGAACACCCAGCATAGAGATTTAGCATTCCTATATACATATTCTGTGAGCTTGCTTGCCCTAATGAAATGATTTATTATGGAAATCTGTGAGCGTATTTCTTGAAGATTTTATACTTGTGGACATATTATGTCTGTGTGGTGCATAGATTAAAAACTAGGGATCCACCAATATATTGATTTTTTTGAGCCGATAATGATAATCTGTGAACTTTCAGGCCGATAGCCGATAACTTGCCGATATTCTGTGCATTTACGATTTTGAAAAAATAAACTATTTCTAAGGTAAATGCACAAAATATACATGCCACATGCAGTAGATGCAGCGTGTTTAGACAGGGGAGCTGTGTGTATTTGTGTAGTGAGTTTATAATGAATGCAGGGTGTGTTTGTGTAGTGTGTATAGTTAATGCAGTGACTGTTTGTGTAATGTGTATAGTTAATGCAGTGACTGTTTGTGTAGTGTGTATATAATGAATGCAGAGTGTGTGTGTGTGTATAGTGAATGTAGTGTGTGGTGTGTAAAGTTAATGTAGTGTGTGTATAGTGAATGCAGTGTGTGTAACATGTGTATAGTGAATACAGTGAATTTAGTGTGTGTATAGTAAATGCAGTGTGTTTATAATAAATGCAGTGTGTGCATAATGAATGCAGGGTGTGTAATGTGCGTATAGTGAATGCAGTGTGTGTAGTGTGCGTAAAGTAAATGCAGTGTGTTTGTATAGAGTGTGTATATAATAACTGCAGAGTGTGTGTGTGTTTGTATAGTGTGTGTATATAATGAATAGTGTGCAGTGTGTGTATATAATGTAGTGTGTGCATTATATACACACACACTACACACTGCATTATATACACACACTACATTATATACACACAACACACTGTATTCATTATATACACACACTATACAAACACACACACTCTGCATTATATACACATACTACATACTGTATTCATTATATACACACACTATACAGACACACACTACATTATATACACACAGTACACACTGTATTCATTATATACACACACTATACAAACACACACACTCTGTATTATACACACACTACACACACTACATTATAAACGCACACTACACACTCTGCATTATAAACAGAGTGTGTAGTTTGTGTGTTCCTGAAGGGATGTGATTTGTGTAAAATGGGGGGGGGGGAGAAAGGCATTTTTTATTTTAATGTTTATTTTAATTTTTTGGCCCCCCTCCCTGCTTGTTACCTGGCCCTGGAGGGGGGCTATAAAAGTCCCTGGTGGTCAGGTGGCATGGATGTGAAGTGGGGGCCGGCAGCAAGCTCTTACTTAGCTTTCCAGCAGCTCCCTGTGTTAATTTTGCAGCCTGCGTGCCGCGTGGAGCAACGCCATGGTAACCCGGGGCAACGCTCTGACGCCCGTGGGACTCGCGAGATTTACACAGGGAGCTGCAGGAAAGATAAGTAAGCGCTTGCTGCCGGCCCCCCCAGGACCACCGGGCTTGTAATGAGCCCCGCGGTCCTGGTATGTATTATCGTCAATATCGGTATCTATATTGGCCGATCCCGATATTGCCGAAAATACAGAATATCGGCCGATAATATCGGTAAAACCGATAATCGGTCGATCCCTATTAAAAACTAAGCAGCCAAAAATCCTGGTCACCCTGCAATGTGGGGACATGATGGAAGCAAACTACTGCCCATGATCACTCACCTGAAACAACTTATGGCTAAATGGGCAACATAACGGATTTCTTTTTTCAAGCGAATAAACACAGTCAAGATGGCATTATTGCCAAAAATGCTGTACATGTTTAGATCCATACTGTTAAGCATGAGAACATGGCCTCTCTCGAGGGGTAATTAACTATTTTATATGGGAAGGCATGCAAAAAAGGTTTAAAAAGCTACAATTACAACTAAAAGGGTCAAGAGGATATGCATGGTGCTTCATTTGTCACGTATTATATGGCAGCACAATTTGTGATGCTACTCCAGATAAACTTAATGAAAAATAGAGCTATGTGGGTGTCTTTGGAGGAAGGGATAGAAGACCCTGGTCCCCTGTAATTTGGCACCCCATTACAACCCTCACACAGATACACTATAGCCGAGTGTTACAGTACTCCAAGGCTGAGGAGGAGATAAAGGGAGTTGTGGGCCTTTCCTCAGAGGGGAGTAGACTGCACCCTCTCTTCTAAAACTCTGTGTTCCTTGAGAGTCGCCTACCTCTGGCGTTCTGTTGGTGGAAGGAGAAAGGCATTACAGAGATTCGTCATTTGATAGCTCAAGATAAGTAGTGATGGGACGGGGCTTGGAGGCCATGCTGGAAGGTCGCCGACGACTTGAGCTCCTGACTGCAATCAATTTAATGGGGCTTTAAAGGGTCAAAATACCCTAACTACTGAACATCCTCTGATTAGTACTCTGCTCTGGCATAGCTGGAACAACTTTGGAATGCGTTCCAGCATTAGCATCCATGCAAGTTGACGGCTGCGGCCTATAGTCTGTTGCAGCCTGACAATTCCCTGGTGGGAGAAGCGGCAAATCTCTCTGTCCGGGGCTGTCCTCTTGTGGACACTGAGCACCATACTCCCCCCCTCTGGGTGGGTGGGGGTTATCCTGGTCCCCACCAAGTGAACACACCTCAGTATTGCACCTTGGCTAATCTCTTGAAAGTGGCTGACACGCTACCTTTCCAAAATGACCAACAGAAACATTGTACACGATTTTCTGCATAAGTTCGATGCCATATACCAGCGATTCTGGTAGCGCTAGGAGAACAGCCGACTACCGCCTGCACTGCCTGCAACGGAGACACAACCTCCAGTTAGAGCTCCAATTTGGTGCTCCCCTCCTAGGTGGGGAAGGTTTGTGTAACCGTCCACACTCTAGAGTGAAACGACATCGCAGGTTTACTGAGAAGGTAAAAGGAGCCGGTGGACAATGGGAGCTGGCAACACTTGGGGCTGTAGTGGTACCGTATGATGCAACTCCATGGGAGGCTCGAATAACCTACTATGCTTATCTGAACTCAGCCTGGTGATGGGTGTGCTATGCACGGAAGCCTTCCACAGTACCGGCATTGGCTGACACTGTGTCTTTAGAAAACAATCGCCTTAACATATGAAGCTTCATGTAGTTTAAATTGTTTTCTATTGATTTCAGTCATTTGCATTACTTGATATGGCATGTTATTAGTGATCACTAGCTAAAACGTGCTACTGTTGATGTTATGGTTTATTTCTATATTTTTATGTTTCTTTTTATGTTGGCGATCATAGGCCAACTAACCAGTAAGATGCTTACTCGTAATTAGTGTATCAGTCATGGTGTCGTGGATAGAGGCACTGAGGGTAGTGGTGTTGTGAAGAGAGGCACTGAGGCTAGTGGTGTTGTGAAAAGAGGCACTGAGGCTAGTGGTGTTATGGAGACAGGCTCAGGTACTGATGGTAGTGGTGTTGTGGAGACAGGCTTGGAGACTATGGTGAGGCCTAATAGAAAGCAGTTGTTGTTGGGGGATTCCATGATAAGAGGTGTGGAGATGGACATTGGTGGTCTTGTGAGGTGTCTTCCCGGAGCTACTGCTCACAGAGACAGGAGACGTATCTGTAATATTGATAAGCGAGCAAAGCAGGAAGGGGAATTGGATGAACTTGTCCATCTAGGGACAAATGACTTGGCTTTCAATGAGGTTAAGGAAGTTTTTAGTGTTCTTGTCAATGATATACGGCAGGTTGCTTCCACACTGTCATTCTCTGAAGTTCTGCCTGTGCATAACACTCAGAAAGACAGGCGGATGCGTATTAGGGACTTTAACTTGTGGCTTGGTGAATGGTGTCGGGAGCAAGGATTTGGCTTTATTTCTCATGGTAGCTCTGTTTGGAATGGAAATAAACTGTACAAAAGAAGATGGTTTGCATCTTTCTCAAAAGGGAACAAATATTCTCAGTGAGCAGTTCAGAGGTTTTGCTAGGATGTATTTAAACTAGGAGGGGGGGGGGCAAAAGGGTGATAAAACATCATTCCAATTGTCCCCCAAAACAAGGACAGAAGGTGCCTGTGGCAAGTGTGTTAAAAAATGATAAGCTTAGAGTCATGTCTACAAATGCTCGCAGTTTAGGGAATAAGATCCATGAACTTATGGCAATAATGGCAACTGATAGCGTAGATTTAGTCGCTGTTACTGAGGCATGGTATAATGAGAAAAATTACTGGGACGTAGCAATACCAGGGTACTCTTTATATAGAAAAGAAAGGGAAGGCAAGAAAGGGGGAGGGGTGGCCCTGTATGTGAAGGATAGCATAAAATCTAGCCTAATAAAAGTTAGTGAGGCGAACATAGAGTCCGTTTGCGTTACGTTAGAATTTGGTAATCACACAGTAACTTGTGTAGGTGTGATTTATAGGCCCCCAGGACAAATTGAAGAGTTAGAAAATCTACTAGTTGAGGAAATAGCTAAAATGACAATGAAGGGGGATGTTATCATCATGGGTGACTTTAATCTTCCTGATGTGAATTGGAAAACAAAAATAGCTGCTTGTGCCAGGAGCACACACATTCTAAACTCCCTACTGGGATTGTCTCTAAAACAAGTCGTTGAGGAGCCAACTCGTAAAAAGGCCATACTAGATTCAGTGTTAACAAATGGAGATTTGGTATCAGATATTACTGTAGGTGAAAGTTTAGGATCCAGTGATCATCAGTCAGTGTGGTTTAATATAAGAACAGTGACTGAGTCACACCACACAAAAACAAAAGTTTTAGACTTTAGAAAAACAGACTTTTCTAAAATTAGAATATGTGTAAAGGAGTCATTATCAGACTGGAGCAATTTAAATGGAGTCCAAGAGAAATGGGATTATTTAAAAATTGCACTACTGAAGGCAACAGAAAATTGCATTAGGCTAGTCAGAAAAAGCAAAAAATTCAAGAAACCACTGTGGTACTCTGCAGATGTGGCCAAAATTGTAAAAAAACAAAAAGTTAGCATTTAGTAATTATAAAAAAAAACAGAGGGAGGAAGACAGAATGATCTATAAGATTAGGCAGAAGGAGGCTAAGCAAGTTATAAGAGCTTCCAAATCACACATAGAAGAGAAAATAGCACAGTCAATAAAAAAGGGGGACAAAACTACATAAATGAGAAAAGAAAAGTAAAACAAGGATTAGTTAGATTAAAAACAAAAGAAGGAAGGTATGTAGAAGAGGATAAAGGTCTAGCCGACTGCCTCAATGAATATTTTTGTTCGGTATTTACAGATGAAAATGAAGGAAAGGGACCTCAGTTAAGAAAAAGGATAAATTAGTCATTTATTACACGTGAGTTTACAGAGGAAGAGGTTCTATTTCAAATGTCAAAAGTAAAGACAAATAAGTCAATGGGACCTGATGGAATACACCCAAAGCTATTAAAAGAGCTTAGTAGTGTACTAGCAAAACCATTAACAGATTTATTTAACCAATCATTGTTAACAGGAGTAGTCCCAGAAGATTGAAAGTTAGTGAATGTTTCACAAGAAAGGTAATAGGGAGGAGTCGGGCAACTATTGGCCAGTAAGCCTTACTTCAGTAGTGGGGGAAGTGATGGAAACCATGTTAAAGGAAACCATGTTAAAAACACATGGATTTCAAGATCAGAGACAACATGGGTTTACTTCAGGGAGATCATGCCAAACTAATCTTATTGATATTTTTTGATTGGGTAACTAAAATTATAGATCAGGGTGGTGCAGTAGACATTGCTTATCTAGATTTCAGTAAGGCTTTTGACACTGTTGCACATAGAAGGCTTATCAATAAACTGCAATCTTTAAGTTTGGATTCCAATATTGTTGAATGGGTAAGGCTGTGTCTGAGTGACAGGCAACAGAGGGTTGTAGTCAATGGAGCATAT